TATGTTATTGCTATAATTTTCCCTCTTACTACTGGTTTTTATTATAACCAACTAAAACCAACCAATCTACACAGTTTTGACCACCAGGTAACATCAGCACAACCCCAGCCTCTTATCTAATGGTATCTTATATAACATCTATTTTAAAAGACCAAAAATCAAAACAAACTACAGGGATACCTTGGTTGTCAAACTCAATTTGTTTCAAATTCATGTCTGAACACCAAAATGGTCGAGAATGGAACATATTTTTCCCATAAGGAAGGAAAACCCAATTGGTTCTTAGACACAAAAACTACACTATGAAAGCTTTCAACCTTCTTGCCCATCATGGTTGTGGATGTGCTATTGTAGAGTTGTTTCTGATCTATCCAAATTGAGTTTGTTTTGTGGTTAACAATTTCACACCTTTCACTACATTTGCCATTTTAATCACATTACCCTGAAATCAGGGCTCCCAGACTGCCGTCACTTAACCATGTTGTAATCAGCCACCAAAAGAATTGATTGCCTGATTCAAATTTCACAGTTTCTTCAACCCTATCATGGGGCTCAGCTTTCCTCATAGCTTTATTGCTGGTATCGCTTTATTTGAGCCACGGTTACAATATTTTAGGCAAATATAAAGCATTTTAAAAAGCAGTGATGAAATGTTTTAAAGCACTAAAATAAGCACTATATGTTGTCTGAGCTAGAGCAGGGCTTAGACTGAAGAGTCACCCCCCTTTGTGTCCTCAGTGAGAATCAACATGTGACTCAGCCATTATAGGGTTTTTCCCATCAGATTTTCAGTTTGACCATTGAACATAGTTATTAACATTGAGCATATATTCTCCCCACTCCCAACTTTGCTGTTTGAGTAATGGACTTTGGAGCTGTTTAACAACCGAGTTATCACTGTACTGAAACTTGTCTTCTTTACTGTTACCTTTTTCGTAGCTTACCAAAATTCCAACCTCCTCACCATCAACTCAGTTCCAACTCATAGTGATCCTGACAGAGTAAAGCTACCCAATAGTGTTGCTAAGATCGTAAAACTTTATGGAACCAAATTACTACAGCTATCTCCCATGGGTCAAATGGTGGATTTGAACTTCCAACCTTTCAGCTAGCAGTGAAGCTCTTAAGTCACACCAGTTTTCATCTATGACTTATAAGATGTGCAGGACTGGCATTTCAAACCCACCAGCAAGGTATAAGTTCTACTCTGCTTTATACAGTCTGTGTCTGAATGGCAGTTTGGATTGTGGTGATTATTATCTTGCATAAAGTTTAAATAAAAACTTTTAAATATAAGGTTACATGTATATATTTTTGGGTAGTTTTCCTGATTAATAATTATACTTGTAAGGCTCATTTATCTGTGTCACTATGGTTCATTAGTTTTAATCACCAGCTAAGACTATAAGGCTATATAAGGAAATATTGTATTCAACACCTTCAATGGGAACTTGAGCTGTTCCAGGTTTTTACTTTTGTCAATAAAACGAAATTTCTCTATGTCTTCTGTTGCCAACGTTAAAGTTTTTCTTAGTTTTACACTAGGAATACAGTTTTTGGACCAGTACAATGTGTAAAAATTAGTAACTTTAAAGGCAGTACTAAACTTTTATTAGACTGAATCACTTTATGCTAACATTAATAATCCACAAAAGATCACGTAGAACCTTCCAATACTAGTGTCAGACTTTTAAAAAAATATTCTTATGTGTTGTGTTGTCTTGATTTGCAGTTATGTGGTCCAACTTACAACTTGTCTTTTCAGCCTTTGGTTACCATACGTGTCTTTTAATGAATAAAATTCAATATTTTAAAAGAAAACTTGTAATTTTACATGCCAGGATCTAAGTAGTCATCTTGCTTATTTTCCCCACGTTAAAAACGTCTTGAATTTTGTATTTAACTTCTAATAATAATGTCTTACAAGCTAAGAGGAGGAATCAAATCTCACCCATCTCCCTAGATTAACAATGGTTCCAGCTCTACTTATCTTGAACCTTTTGCCTGGATTTGTTATTTGACTTATACCGAAGCTTAATCCATACATTGGTTTGTTTCTGTGAACTCTTAATACCTTCTGACGAGAAACCTAACCCTTGGCTAATACCATGCTAATTTAATTAACATGGTTTTATAATGAGTCGTAAGGACTTTGAACACCTTCATTCTAGTTTGTCCCCTGCTAGGAATTTGCATTTCCACACCTGTTACTGGGAATAAACATCTAGTTGGGGACGACCAAAAAGAACAGAATCACTGCCGTCAAGCCGATGCTGACTCAACAACTATGTAAGACATGGTAGAATTGCCCCTTTGAGTTTCCAAGATTGTAGCTCTTTACAGGAATAGAAAGCCTTGTCTTTTCCCCTCAGAGCAGCTGTTGGTTTCAAACTCCTGACCTTGCAATTAGCAGCCCAACATGTACATTACGGGATCTTACATCCAGGGTGGAAATGCAAATTTTCAGTCAGGGTAGGTTATAAGCCTGATTCTAACACCATGCAGGGTAAGACTCCTCACACCTACTCCTCCTCACATTTGTTCTAGTCCATTATTCTATTTTGCCCATTTAGAATCATCTCACCAGATTGTACGAAATACCAGGAATTTGATTGTAATTGCTTTCAATCTGACATTGACTTCCTATGCATGAGCAAGTCTTGCCATTTTTTTTGAGCCTATTGTACACACTCAGTTTCCTAGGTACAATATTGGGTAAGCATTGCATGCCTAACTTCAAGACTGGTGGTTCACAAACATCAGCTGCTCAAGAGGAAAGATAAGGTTGCTTGCTCCTAGAAAGATTTAGCTTTGGAAACCCTTTATAGGGTTATTTGCTGAGTACTCTGTACTATTTCTGGTTTCCTAGTTGTTATTGTAGCAAAGAAACACACCTCATTCCTGAAAACTAACATTCCCCTGTATTTTTAGTAATTTCTTCTAGATTTGCTTGGGTTTTCAATAAAACCAATCACAATTTTCAAATGATGATTTTCCTTTCTACCTCTTCCTCTTTTTGCAAGATTTTCTTTGGGGGCGGGGGAGGAAGAAGGGTTGGTTATTATTCACATAGACATTATCAGTGTAACAAAATCCCTTCTGCTAACGCACCGTTTTTTATCATGAATGTTCAATTAAAATTTTACTTTTATGCTTACATAATTTATTTTATATGCATCTAAGAAATCATGCAGATTTCTCATTTTGTTAGCATATTAATTTATACATCTTAATTTTTAATCACTTACATATGACAAATTAATTTTTTTTAGTTGTCATTGTGTTGGTATTGTGGTTGTGTGCTGCTGATTCAGACTCATTGTGGCTAATTGGGTGTCTTATGCTCTAACCTTTATAGAAACAGATTGCTAGGTCCAGAGGAGCACAGGTGGGTTTTAACTGCTGACTTTTGGGTTAGCACCTGAACACTAGTAAATAAATTTAAATCTAGGGACATGTATTACAAAATACTGCTTTCATCTACTTGTCATATTATTTCAGGTTTAGAAGGGATTGGCTACCAGGTAGGCACATTTGAAAATCTCAGGACAGAATAACGACTTAAAGATCTTTCTACTCCACGGGTTTCCAAGTGCCTGTTTGAATTGTGATTTCAGTTGCTTTAAGCATATCCGGAGGTAAAAAAAAAAAAGCTTCTGATAGATACTGAGTGTGACAGGGTACAGAGTAGGGAATTTGACAGGAGTTAGAGAAAAGATGACACCTAACTTACAGGCATCTAATATTACCATTTACCACCATTAGTCACAAACAGAAGTGAAACAATCAGTAATAGCACTGTTACAAAACCAGGACAGTAAGAGATTAGCAAACTCCAAATCAAAACAAACTACTAGAAAGAATTATCGAGGGGGGCAAAAATCATATAAGGTGTGTTCTAGTTTTCCTTTTTATTTAATCAAAGATTGTGGATAAACATAAATACAGCACAATTACTTCAGATAATTCTTCATATTGTATACACATCGACTGATGAACATATTCTGCAAGGAACCTATCGTCATCAATAAAATGTGTACAGCTTTCCCTTCCCTTGCTCAAAAAAAAAAAAATTTAAACCACACAAACTTAGAATTTTATCAGCACACACTCTCCTGTGACAAATGATTCAGACATAAATAGTGGATGCAAAGAAACTATATGATAACATATGTATAACCTTTGTTAATGAAAAAACAGAAGCAGCCATAATGATTAAGGTACATTCAGTTACTGATAACTAGTTTTGCCCTAAGGGGCATTATCAAAAGAGAAATTGTGCTGCAGAAAAAAGCTATATATACATACACAATGAGAAAATAAACTGCAAGATTAACGCATGCATGTTTAATACTGGGAAAAATCACAGCCCTTCAAAATTTCTCCACATCTGTTATAAAACGCCCTCTGCACGCAACTAAAATTAAAATGATCTTAAAAAGATAATACTTGTAAAGTTTACTTAAGTCTTTTCAGCCACAGAAACTGCAATGGAAATAAATGTTCAGAGTCATTTTCAAAACAAAACCAAAAATCTATTCTTCTGATGACATGCATGATTAAAAGGTCTATGCAAGATACATTGCTCTACATTCCCAATGACTAGGAAAAAAAAGCTCAAGTCAGTGTTTAGTTTGCAGATGGTCAAGGATTTTGTATTCCAGCAGGAGTTCAAATCTTCTGGATCTTTTCACCAACAACTACTGGATTTTCTTTTCTGATTTTCTCAGCAGCATCAGCTTTGTAATTGTAAGAGCAATTGTGTACATCTGAGTAACGGTGCACACCACAGTAAACATTTCCACACCGGCATTCAAACCCAGTAAGCCCCACTTTCTTCCTGCACATGAAACAGCGATTCTTTTTTTGTTTTGGTTTTTCAAGGGACTTGTTTTGTTCTTCAGATGGCTGTTGTGCCGTATCTGGTACTGAAGCTAACAAAAGTAGGAAATGTGGTAAAATTTAATTATTCAGTAAGCTTTTGATATCTGGGTAATTATTGTCCCTCATCAATCTCTGTTACTATCAGAGAAATTACTTATTAGCATGGACAGATGTTCACATTAAACTACAAAAGTTTATATAAAAGACCCCATTAAAATATATATTTAATGTACACATATACGGAAAATAATTTAATATACACAAGGTATAAGGTAAAAAAGTATTGCTACTAGGGCTCCAATACATGCACAGATTTATGCCAAACAAAATGTTTAGCACATTT